AATGGTGGCTTGTGGAAGTGGCCAACCAATGACTGGTATCACTTGAAATCCAAGCCACAAGAGCGAGCCCATGTTAGACACAGCACGGATGGCCAGGAACCAGAAGCTGGATAGTTCAGAGACCTAGGGTGGAATCAAACAGGACTGACAAAAAAAAAGAAGAAGAAGAAGAAGAAGAAGAAGAAGAAGAAGAAGAAGAAGAAGAAGAAGAAGAAGAAGAAGAAGAAGAAATGATTCCTAATGATATTCTGCTATGCTCATAGTTTGGTGTCTACCACAATTATCAACAGAGAGGCTTCTTCCAGTAGCTGATTGGAGAAGATGCAGAGACCCACAGCCAACCATTAGGAGGAGCTCAGGGAACCCAACAGAAGAAAGGGAGGAAGAACTGTAGGAGCCAGAGGGGTCAAGGACACAGGAGGACACAGTCCACCGAATCACCTAAGCAAGGCTCATAGTGGCTCACAGAGATTGAAGCTGCAACCATGGAGCCTGCATGGGTCTGAGCCCTCTGCATACATACTGTGGTTGTTTCTCTTGGGGTTTTTATTGGGTTGGGGGTATCACTGACTCTTTTGCCTGATCTTGGGACCCTTTTCTTCCTATTGGGTTGCCTTATCCAGCCTTGATATGAGAGTTTGTGCCTAGTCTTTTTTTGTGTCTTGTTAGGCTGTGCTCAGTTGATATCCCTAGGAGGCCTGTTCTTTTCTGAAGGGAAATGGAGGAGCAGTAGATATAAGGGAGAGGGGAGGTGGGAGGGGCAATTGGGAGGAGGGAGGAAGGGGAAGCTGTGGTTGGGATGTATTGTATAAGAAAAGAATAAAGAAAATGAAAACAGCAACAACAATAACAATAACAAAATGTAGCAATATAATGATTCTTCATGACATTCTGCTCTACTCATCAAAGTGCAGTGCTCAGCCATCACCAGAGAAGCTTCCTCCGGCAGCACATGGGAGCAAATACAGAGACCCACTGCCTGGCATTATGCACAGAACACTCAGTCCTAACTGGTGTGCTTCTATCAACTCCCTCCCCTTAGAGGTCAGGGAACCCCAAAGAAGAGGAGGCAGAAAGAATACAAGAGGCAGAGGGGATAGTGGACACCCAGAAACCTAGGGTCTCTGAATCAACAGGATAGACCCAGATGTGAACTCACAGAGACTGAGGTAGCGTTCAGGGCCTAAACGGGTCTGTACCAGGTCCTCTGTGTGTGTGTATATTACGGCTTCCAATTTAGTGAATTTCATGGGATTCCTGAGTGTGCCAATGAATGGGTCTCTGTTTTTTGTGCCTTCTCTTGAGCTCTTTTCCTTGTTTTGTTTATTTATTTGTGTTTTGTTTTTGTTTTTGTCCAATGTGTTAGTGTTTGTTTTATCTTATTTTATGTTTATCCATTAAAAATCTCTTTGTTTTCTAGTGAAAAACACAGAGAGAGTGGATCCACATGGGAGGGGATGTGGGGAGTAACTGGGAGGAGTAAAGGGAGGGAAAACTATAATCATGATATATTATGTGAGGAAAAACATCTATTTTTAAGAAAAGATTAAGGTGAAAACAAATAAATAGTAATAATCTGTAAGAATAAATTGTAGTAAACAAATAACTATAGCAGTCAATTTTAGGAATTTATACACCCAAGATTTTACAATGTATACCACCTACCAAGTGTTTGAGGAACATACTTTTTAGCTATTATTTAAATGTTCCATTGTAACAAAAAAAGACTATGTAGCCAACTTAATTATCTTTTAACTTTTGCCTACCTACAAGTATTTCATTGACTACATACTGTAGCTGGAGAGCTTTTCTCTCCGGGTCCCACCAAGTCCCGCCAGTCCTGGAGCCCACTTATAAAATAAACACACAGACTCTTATATTATTTAAACTGTTTGGCCATTAGCTCAGGCCTATCATTGTCTAGCTCTTACTCTTATATCTAGCCCATTTCTATTAGTCTTTACTTTGCCATGTGGCTCGTGGCTTACTGGTACTTTACATCTTCCTTGTCCTGGCGGCGGCTCCAGGCAGTCTCTCCTATCCTTCCTCCTTCCTCAATTCTCCTCTCTATTAGTCCCGCCTATACTTCCTGTCTGGCTATTGACCAATCAGTGTTTATTACATATAGCGATATCCACAGCAACATACCCTGATTTGAAATTAAAAACAAAAGAAATAGACTTACAATTATTTAGTAAAATTCTGGTGACTAGCACTGTAAGCTTATGGTGCAGAAGTTGTTTGGTGTGTCGTTGATCCATCCAAGTTTGATCTAATCTGACCGAACGTTTTATCTCATGAAAGAATATATAAATATTCTTTTCCAGAAGGTAATGACCTTTATCATGAGTTCTTTCAATAAATGACACTGACCTCTACTGGTCACCTGGGCCGCAGGGTACCCATCTAGCTATGGAAAGCACTGCTTTAGCATAGGTTAAGATTTTGTTGTTTCTGGCATTAGGTGGAGAGAGAGCCCAAATTGGAGAACTCCATTGGGTCCCTCCCCTTGGAGCTCAGAAAAGCCCTAGGAACAACAGAAGGAAGAACTGTAGGAGCCAGAGTAGTTGAGGACACCAGGAAAACACAGCCCACAGAGTCAACTAAGCAGTGCTTATAGGGGCTCATAGACTGAAGTGACAATCACAGAGCCTGACTGGTCTATGCCAGGTCCTCTACATATATGTTTGGTTGTGTAGCTGAGGGTTTTTGTGGGACTCCTAACAGTGGAAATTGGGGTGTTTCTGACTCTTTTGCCTGTTCTTGAGACCCTTTTTACTACACTGGGTTACCCCACACAGCCCTGATAAAAGGGCTTGTGCTTGTGCCTAGTCTTACAGTGTTCAGTTGATATCCCTGGGAGGCCTGCTCTTTTCTGAAGGGAAATGGAGGAGGAATGAATCTGGGGGAGAGGTGAGGTTCCAGGTAACTGGGAGGAGTAGAGGGAGAGGAAACTTTGGTCAGGATGTAATGTATGAGAATAATAATAGTAATAAAAGATTTTGTTGTTTTTGTTCATTGGTTAAGCATGGAAGAGGCACAAATTTATGAGGGCTCCAAGGATGAGAGTCCCTAAGTCTAGCGGTGGACTTACATGAACCTAAATTACAACCTCTCTCTTCTGGTCAAATAAACCCAAGCATTTCTTTCTTAACACTTTACTTTAAAAACAATCTTTTATTTCAATGACAAACAGCTACTATAAATAGAGAGTTGTTGAATTTCAAGCAAACTGTGAAAAGGAATAATTATGTACAGAATACAAACATATTGTTTGGAGTTCATTTGCATTATTTCCTGATCATCTCATTCTTAAAATGAAAGGGTAATTACCTGGATATATGGAAAATGCAACTTAGATCTCCATAGAAACCAAATCAACTCAGAAAACACTACTATTCCAAGTATCGGCAACTACCCATATTTTACCTAAATTTTGTATGTTAGTTCTCTAAGAGTTCTGAAATAAAAAGAAAAGAACATTAGCATTTTGATAATGATGGATAATATTCTTCCTCAAAACAAACATGGAATTCTTTTGATAATTCACACTACAGGTGACACAACTTTCATAATTAATTGATTGTGATAAGTCACAGTGACTGCTGTTGCCTGGCCACAGGGATCCACCTTTGTAACACTTGGGCTATCTTATTAGTGCCAAGTAGTTAACTGTGATCAAAACTATTAGGACTAATACCTCAGAATTTGCCGAGAGAGAGAGAGAGAGAGAGAGAGAGAGAGAGAGAGAGAGAGAGAGAGACAGAGAGAGACAGAGAGAGAGAGAGAGAGAGAGAGAGAGAGAGAGAGACAGAGAGAGAGACAGAGAGAGAGAGAGAGAGAGAGAGAGAGAGAGAGAGAGAGAGAGAGAGAGAGAGAGAGAGAGAGAGGAGGGGGGGAGGGAGGGATGGAGGGAGGGAGGATATATTTTATGCATAAATCTTGAGGTCAAAACAGGGTAAAATTAAGGGTCTTATTAAGTCAAATAGCTGAGGAAATAGTAAGTTTACCAACGATGCATTTGTCCAAAGAAACTGAAAGTACTATATCCCCAAGAACACGATAGGATGAGATATGAATACAGAGGGAATTGCCATGTATTGGTACAGATTTTAATTTTAGGAATATCAGTTCACTACATGATGGTAACAAGCAGCCTGCTTAAACCCAGGAAACAGAAATGCAGTTGCTGCATTTCAAGGGCTCATGTCCGGTGGAAGGCAGACTGAGTCAAGGAGAAACATAAAAAGGGAGGCGGAGGCAGCGGGAGAAAAAGCAAAACAACCAGTTCCTACGGGCCTCGGACATATCAGAAATAATGTTCACCTTTATTTGCTAAATCAGTAATATTTTTTAAAGTACCAATGTTTAAAAGTCTATAGCTGTTTTTTCCCTTCCACTTCCCTGCTTCCCCGCTTCCTCACACCCCCTCCCTCCCTTCTTTCCATTCTTTCTTTGCCTCACTCTTTATTTGCATATTTAAACCATTAGCCCACAATGAAAGGATTTTAACTTAAGCACCATATACTCCAAACCATATAAAAAATACCACGACCTGTGCTTGAAAATGTAGACACCATTTTAAGGAAGAGTAAGTACTTTTTGCACACAAGCTGACCCCCTCTGAAATATTTTCCTGTTCAGCCATGGAATCCTTTTCTTGTCAAGATAGGACAGCAGTGTTTGGGAAGCATCAGCAGGCCAACAGATGCTTAGAATCAAATGACTTAATAGGCATACACATTTTTTCCCCCAAATAATTGCAAAGCTTTGGTTTAGCCCTTTGCATACCTTGCATAGTTAATTAGCTAGGCCTTAATGTTTACATGCAATGAGAGTATCTACAGCTATAAACTACATAATTTATAATTGATGTAAATGGGTGTTATTATGTCAATTAGGCAGCTGTGTCCTCCACCTCTTGGTAAACAGCTATGAGTGATAAACTGAGTTTGCAGAGAGCTACCTTCTTCTCTTCATAACAGATAAAAATAAATTACCCAGGCAGACCAAGCTGTCCAATTGTTCTCTGGTGAAGTGGATGGAAAGTCCAGGCCCTTTCTTTTGACCTGTTGACTGCAGGAAGCTGTCAATTTCGTCACGCAGTGCTTCCATGGTTTCTGGGTGCCGAAGAAGATAATACATTGCCCAGAACATAGTTGGAATGGTGTTTGCCAGAGAGGCCCAGAGAAAGCCAAGATGATGTGCTGGGAGAAAATAAGTGAAAAGGAAGATTAATAGCGTTTATTACACTGATTAGATTTGCAGTGTGCTAATTAAAAGATGTTAGGACACAGACCCAGCCAAGGATCAGTGCATGCTAATGAGAACCAATAGGCTTCTGAAGTCTAATTTTCTGCTTAATGAGAATAGTTTAAAATGTAATGTGTGTTGGGGGGGCAGGAAGGTGGGGGATGAGATAAGGGGAGTAAATGCCGCTTAGTTATACTCTTTCTCATTATCATCATTAAGTATCTTGTTTTACCACCTCAGCAAAAAAAAAAAAAAAAAAATCAATTATCACAGAGGGTTGTTTCAGAATGAAACATTTTATCACTAGCCAATTAGAAAGAGCATAAAAATTTTCAAGGTCGCCATTTTTCTTTTTATCTCAAAGGTCTTCTGTAAATTATTTTATTTTAGTGAGTAATCATTCAGAACTTTCTTACCTCCTATTTCAAAGTCTTCACGCCTATAGTGTTTCTCCAGTATATCTTGCCTTTCCCGAACAATTTCTGAACATCCGTGCATCTGAGCTAGTTTTTCTGATGAGAGGCATTTTATAAGCTTCTTCTGCATAGATTTCACATTTGTTAAAAGCTGAATGGGTATATCAGATACTAAGTATGGGAACATATCATCAAATTTTAAAAAATCATCTCTTAGTTCACTGATAATTTTTTTTCCTGTCACCAGCAAGAACTTTTCCAAATATAGTTGTAAAGGTGGCCTCAAATACCAGTGAGCTACAGAATGGAAACAGTCTTGTCGTTTTCCAATCTGTGCTTTTTAGTAGTTGGGGCTCAAGTATTTCTTTTAGTTCTTGGATCACGCTTCCTAGGAGACTGTCTAAAGCTTTGCCTTGTAAAAGCAGGTAAGCTCTGTGAATGTCGTCATTAAGGTCATCATTAGTTGACAGCTTCTTGATGGAGAAGGCTTTCACTGATAACTTTCTGCTGAACATCCCGAAACTTAATTGTTTGGAGTTTTTCATTAGGAGATGGTACTGGAAAGGGTTCAGAACAAACGTAATGTACTTCCCTTAAAAAAAAAAAATGGTTTATTTGTTAGCAAGACAAAACACATATCTGAAGTCTGAAAATATTTAAATCAAAATTAGAGACTTTCTTTACTAAGAAGTTAATAGTTTTATTACACCAATTTAACAGACATCCATCCCACTCAAAGGCCTACTCTGCACCCTTTGAAAATGAAGGATGATGTGAAACACCCCTGGAAGCTAGAAGGTAAATTTCTTGAAGATCTAAACTTCACCGCTCACTAGGGCCTGTCTCTCAACACTGGCAAAAACTTTGGAGAGTTCCTTGCCGAACCCCTGCACTCATCAGCTGAGAGAACCAGGGACTGCTGAGAAGCGAAGTCTTCACAGCAAGGTCTTTGCCTTGCACCGTGCTTATCCTCACTCAGCTCTGGTCTCTCACTGCAATGCTGCTTTAAGATTCCTTCTGACTAGAACTATTTTATGCAACCGTAACAGTTAACGAGTATCTTCTTCTTAAAAACACACACTGCATTTGGATAACCCTTCAGTGTTCCTGTTCAGCAATTAGTGTCTGTACTCAATTCTCTCTCTCTTTCTCTCTCTCTCTCTCTCTCTCTCTCTCTCTCTCTCTCTCTCTCTCTCTCTCTCTCTCTCTCTCTCTCTCTCGGTGTGTGTGTATAGCTTTCTTAGATGAAAAACTTTCCCTTCTGATTTATAGTAATACCAAATGTGTTTGCAAAACTCAATCAGATTGGTATACGACATTTTAGATAAAGAATCATTGTCAACCAAATCCTAGAGACAGTATAAATGTGTTTTTATGTGGCAATTTAAAAAATACAGCTTAAGTGTTAAATATATATGTGAATATATATGATGTGATTCATTTTCCTTACAGTGATTTTTATCCACTCCATTTCCCCTTGATTCATTTCACAGGGCAAGGCAAGACAGAAGTGAGGGAGAGCCTGAAGTTAGCTGCTCATTCTGGTTGGATACAGCACTGCCTTCTACAAAGGAAGCAGAGTTTTGTTCTCATTCATTCTTTGTTTTGCCTCAGGAACAGCAAAAAGGACTCCATTGGATTTGGGCACTTTCAATCACTTGCTTTACCATTATAACTTAATTAAAATGGCCAGCATCTGCCTGACAAATAATCAGGGATGCAGGAGTCAACTTTCTCATTTTTCAAAAGAGATAATTTTAGGCCAAGCTGTGTATTTTCACAGGTGATGATTCATGCATCCTTCTTCCCAAATGAAGGAGTTTTGTTAAATATTAATAGGATGCTTTTAGATTAGTATCTAAAATTCAGAGAGTATACACCAGGTTTAATTTGTATCACAATTTTGGGGAAATACTTTGAATTTTTTTAATCATTTTTTTTACGTTCATCTAAATCCAAAGAGAAAAAAAATGTATCAGTCCAGGCACTATCAGCCATTACAACTTGGCCTTTGAAGTAGAGACCAGATAAATACTGATTTCTGCTCTGTCTCCAAGTCATTAGAAGTAGACACATTCTTATTACTTCTCTCTCTCCCTCTTTCTCTCTCTCTCTCCCTCCCTCTCTCTCTCTCTCTCTTCTTTCTCTCCTCTCTCTCTTTTTAATTTTCTCTCTTCCTCTTTAACTTCCCCCTATCAGAAGAAAACATCAGGTTCATTTCAAATAAAAATATAAACAGGGAAAGGGAAATAATTGGTTCAAGTCAGCAAACAAATTTAACATATTGTAAAAGTTGATCACGTGTGTGCTGTCTGGTGTGCGGGTGCACAAGTGCTATGGGTGTGCGTGTGCCACAGTGTGCCTGTGAAAGCCAGAGGATAACTTTGGGAAGGTGGTTTTCACCTTTCACCTTCTTGCTTCTGCTATTGTGCTATATACCCAAGGCTGATGGGCCAGTGAGCTTCCAGGCAATTTTCTCTTCTTTGCCTCTCATTGTGTGTGTGTGTGTGTGTGTGTGTGTGTGTGTGTGTGTGTGTGTGTGTGTGTTGGAATGTTGTGATTACAGATGTGCACAACTGTATCCAGATTCTTAAGTGGATCTGGCGATCCTACTCAGTGATGCTTCTGTGCCTACCACTTTTACCCTTTGAACCAGGTGCCTATTAATACATTCATAAAAAAAAGTAGTTGTTTGTCTCAGGTTGTGTGTGTGTGTGTGTGTGCACATGTCTGCTGTAGGTGTGTTGTGTGGGTGTGTGCATGTATTTTTGCAAGTACATGTTCACGTGGAACACAGAAACAAACACTAGCTGTCTTCCTCAACCACTCTCCATCTTATGTTTTGAGACAAGATCTCTCACTGGACCTGGGGCTCGTCGACTCAGGGGGGCTGGCTGGCCAGTGAGCTCCAAGGAATCTGCTTGTCTCCGCACACTTACATACACACTCCTCCATCGCTGGCTTTTGTGCTGGTGCAGGGGATCCAAAATCAGGTTCTTATTCTTGTGAAATTAACTGGCATGATAGCAACTGAACATTCTCAAGTCTTTGTAGTGAGTTCTTTTAAAGGACCATCATGGAGAAGTTCAAAGTAACTTTCCTCTCTAGGGTCTGCACCTTTTCTTCCTTATTCCAATTTTAATTTTCTTCCCCACCAAGACATCACTTTCTTGCCTTTTACCTTCACCCCTTCTGAAGGACACATGGATGACTTTAGAACTGGACGTTTTGGTTTTCTGATTTTACTTTTCAAGTTGGTTTGGAAGTACCAATAACCCTGGAGATTTTAGCTGGCTTTCCAACTTTTAATCTTCAGCATAAACAATTTAAGCTAAGTTTTCCAAAATTAATATTAATTTAAACCATCTGTCCACCATCTGCTAATGTGAGATGCAAAACCAGAGTTTCTTTGTGTTCCGTAATCAGACAGTTAGGAAAATACATATACATTTATAAAATGAATTTAAATTTCCTAACAAAGAAATTTTTCTGAAGAGTTATCTTGAAGGCTATGAATGCTCAGAGAGAAATTAACTTTTGCTCAGTGTGATTTTATGTAAGTGAATGCCAAGTGTCAATAGGCATGTGCCTAGCTCATAGAGATTCCAATGTAAAACAATACCCTCTGCCATGTTTTGAAAAGAGGAAAATGCTGTCAGAGTGGATATAAAACATTGATTTCAAGAATTTTAGAGTTTGCATTTGTCTAAAATGTAAATGTCAAAATGAGGCCCATGTCTGAAAAAATACAGTATAAAATAATTTTTTCTGCCCATTGCATTTGAAATTGGGCCAACAACTTTAATATCTCCCTTGCCAATTATTTCATTTTTCTTCCCTTTTGTGGAGCAGACTGTGACTATTAATCCCAGCATTCTTAGATAAGCCATCAATGCTTTGCCAACCCAATACTCCTTTTTCTTTCTTTATAGTATTTCCTTGTGAAGCTAATGCTCCATAATTCAAACTAGTTTGATAAATATGTTTTTGAACAGATACCTAAATCACCTTGAAGTTTTATACACAAGAAGTCTAGCTTTTAGATAATAAGTGAGTTTTGCTGTTTTCATGTAGGACTTGGTAACAAGGAGACATTGGCCTGGAAATTCAAGTCAATTGTTCAGTCAATAAAATAAAAAAAATGATTTCAAATAAATTTTCTAAAATTATAAGATTTTAATCTCCTTATGTAGGAAATTCTCCAGCAGTTTTGAGTTGAATGTCTCCCTGTAAGCATCAGTTGGGAAGCTGAGCAGGTAGCCAGCTTTTTATTTGCCGAGAATGACCACCATTGTGTATCTCCTCCCCCTTATTAGGGAGATTTATCTAGCAGTTGACAATGATGTACAGTAGAGCTTCTCTGGGGTGACACTCAGGGAAAGTTATTCCATTGCACTAACACACAAAACCAATTAGAAAACTATTTCTGGGGCAGGTCACGAATGTGTGTGGTTTCCTATAGAAAGCTGTACCTTTCCATTTCTTTATTAAGGTGACAGTTGTATCCCATGGGACTTTTGGGGATGGCAATTATTTGTGCGTCCTGCAGAAACCATACACTCACTAGAGACACATGACATGGATAAGTCATGGTGGACGACTTTGTCCTTCATTTTTTAAAATGAGCTATATAACAAACTGATCATCAAAACCATGTATTCACAGACCTTTTCAATAGGGATGTATTCAAACTAATGCAGGGGAAGTGGGAGACAGGCAGCAGAACTATTCAGTGGTGGCTGTTTATTACTGAGTTCACAGGCATAATGATGGCTAACTTATTTAGGCAGTCAGTGTTTAAGTCAGTATAAGGCTTCTTAGAATTCAAGATTAAGATATCATATGTGAGCATGGATTGATAGCTTTTGTTTATTTTGTTTGTATGTGTGTATGTGTTTATGTGTGCATATGTGCTTGTAAACAATAAAGGTTAACTGCAGTTATTGTTCCTCAGGTGCTACCCACCTTCCTTTGCTTAAGAAAGGGTCTCTTACCAGGACCTATGGTTGGCTGCCTGAGATCAGCTAATTGGACAGGGAGCCCATAAATCCCTTTGTCTCTTCCTTCCCAGAATTGGGGTTGTAAGTGCAAGAACTTTTCCAACTGACTTATTTTCCCAGGCTTCCTCCTTTATAAAATAAAGTTTTGTTTGTTTTTTACAGGATGCTGCTGGCTGGTCTCAAACTCAAGACCGTTTTACCTAAATCTCCCAAGTGCTGAATAAAACTATCCAAACAGTCTACAAGTTTTTGTTGAATCCTTTTAGGCAACTTTTGTATAAGGTCTTAAAAGAGAAAGTTGGAAGGTCTAATAATTTTTGTACTGCTCATTGGAAATTTGAGATACATTTTTAAAGTTATTTTTCAAAAAAGCTTTGCTTTGCAGCTTTGGTTTAGCCCCAAGTGCAGCTGGAAATGAAACACTGGGTACATCCTCTTTATGTACCTAATAGAATTTCATCAGCTCTAAGATGTTAGAGATTTTCCCCATCAAACATTTGTTATGAATAAATCAGCACTGAGCTCTGAACTATATTGAGAGTCATAACAGAAAAAGAAGGAGATGGACAGGCGAGCCAGTGGTAAGCTCTTGTCGTATGAATTGCACCGAGCAGGTGTACTGAGGATAACTGGGCCCCAGGGAAGGAGTTCCAAAGGTTGGGTGATATGTCCAGGAAAGGATCTGAAGAGGAAGTGATGTGCAAGAGGGACTCAAAAGTCAGTCAAGAGCAGAGTTCTGGCCGAAGGAAGTGCAAGAAGGACCAAGGCACAAAGGCATGGTATGTGTGAAGCAATGTTCCAGCAAGAAGGCATGTTAATGAGACTGTAAGCACAAGATAGTAAGAAGGGATGGAAGTGGACTAGATAGGGGTCTTGGGAAGATCATATTAAATATTACAATTCTTTCTAAGATGCATGATTGTTTTCATTTCCCTTTTTCTGAAATTACAGTTCATGCAATTATCATTGGAAGAAATTTATCAGCTGTCAGGGGAAAGAGTAAGTTGTAACAAAACTAATGTTGCCTGTTCCTGAATCAAATAAAACTAACCTCGTGGATGAGTCAATCAAGTTGGATCTCCATTCTTTAATTACTCAAATGGTACATTTACATGGTAGTCAGTATGTGTCTGATCTTCAGCAAAGTAATTACAGGCAGAAGATAGAAGTAGTTCTTTAGGAGTAGAATAGAGAGGCTACAGGGAAAAATATAATGGTAGAAAGACGTGTATACATAAGGTACAATAAGGACAATCAGAGTCAATAGAGGAAGCTGAAGTTTCAAGACAGTTGGAAGCAACTGGATATTTCAGGAATAAAGAAGAGATCAGGCCAGGCAGCAGTGGTGCACACCTTTAATGCCCGCACTCCAGAGGCAGAGCCTGGCGGATCTCTATGAGTGTGAAGCCAGCCTGGTCTACAGAGTGAGACCCAGGACAGACCCAGAGTGAGACACCAAAACTACACAGAGAAACCCAGTCTCAAAAAAAACAAAAAGAAGAAGAAGAAGAAGAAGAAGAAGAAGAAGAAGAAGAAGAAGAAGAAGAAGAAGAAGAAGAAGAGATTAAGAAGGACTAGTTAGGCTAATCTAACCTTGACCATGAGTAAGAGTACCATTAGGAGAACTCTAGAAGATAAGTTACTCCAGATAGCAAATGCAAGTCACTTTCTAAAAATATCTAGGAGATAGAAATAGAGATGGATATAGAAATATAAATAGAAGGATGGAAGGAAGGAGACAAGGAGGGAGGGGAGAGGAACAAGGAGAGGCAGGGTAGGAAAGAAGTAGGGGATAAAGGAAGGAAGAAGGGAGGGAGAGAAGGAGGGGAGGGAGAGATGGAAAGAAGAAAGGAGAGAGAGAATATTGAAAATCAAATGAAAGCAGGAGATATATAATATGGCTCTAAGCTAAGAATAAAATCCCAAAGTGAAGAAATACAGGCATGAGATGAAGGCCTTGTGATGTAACAAGGAGAGTCATGGGATGGGTATGTTGTTGGGGAATATCATTTTAAAATGTGTTACTTTTGTTTATGTTGCATTTGCTTAACTCTGTGAAGCTGTGTTACTGTGCCTGTCTAAAACACCTGATAGTCTAATAAAGAACTGAACAGCCAATGTCAAGGCAAAAGAAAGAATAGATGGGACTGGCAGGCAGTGAGGATAAATAGAGGGAGAAATCTGGAAGAAGAGAGGAGTAGAAGGAGCCAGAAAAGGAAGAGGACATCAGGGGCCAGCCACTCAGCTACCCGGCAAGTCACAGAGTAAGAAACAAAGAGATGTATACAGAAATAGAGAAAGATAAAAGCCCAGAGGCAAAAGATAGATGGGATAATTTAAGTTAAGTAAAGCTGGCTAGAAACAAGCCAAGCTAAGGCCAGGCATTTATAATTAAGAATAAGTCTCTGTGTGACTTATTTGGGAGCTGGGTGGTGGGCCCCCCAAAAGAGCAAAAACCTCTAACAACAGTATGTGTTTTGTTTTTAAAGCATTTTGAAAAGTTTGAACTACACTGAACAGTTTAAATGCAAAAGTATACTCCAGACCAGTGTTTGCAAAGAAGGGGAAGAGAAGTGATTATGTGGAGAATTCAGATTTTTAGAGTTGTGCAACCATTCTTTATGGTACTGTAATGGTGTGTATATGACATTATGCATCTATGAAAAGCCAAAGAATAACACAAAAAGTAGACTGGAAAGCAAATAAGGGGCCTTAAATAATGCACCCACATCAGCACATCAGTTGGAGTGAATGGCCATACTGAGATGAGACGTTATTAGCTGGGAACTTGTGACCAAGGGAGAGTGCATATGAGTACTCTCTGAACTATCTGGTGAACTTACTTACACTCCTAAAATTGCTCTATAAAGAAATCATTCATTCAAAACACACCCTAGCTCTTTTCTTCTCAAAACACCCAAGTCAACCCAAAACAAATTGGCAAGTGAGGACAGGAGAATGATGTCTTTAGGAGGTGGGAGAGGGTCCTGTAGCCAGGCTGTGTATAAGCTCTCTCACTGGACTAACACATGCCATTCTTTTGCAATTGCTCTACAGTGCTATATGAATGTTCCACATTTTGCCCATGAACAAATATGAAGACATTAAAGAGCCAGTAAGAGATTATGCCACATGCAAAGTCTTGGATCAGAGCTTCTTACCCGAAAGCAGCACAGTGAAAGTATCACCATATTTCCTTCGAAGAGTTTTCATGAAAGCTAATGGATCCTTCTGGATCTTCAGGGTAATGCCAAGATAAGGAAGCCAACCTTTTATCAAGGGAGGTTCACCAGGCCTCCTATGAAGAGAAAAAAAAATCAAAGAAAAATGAAATCATCCACATTTTGACGCATGCGGGTTATTTATCCAGTCTAAATCAATAGCTTGAATTGCACAGCCTCTGTCAGTTCACCTCTTCATTGATTCTTATGTCATCATCGACATGGGCTCGTAGTTTCTTCAGCTTGTGTGGATAGAGGGTAGGTCGTTCAGTTCCTTACTGTTGTCGAGCAACTTTTCATACCTTTTTTTCTTATAAGGATTCCACAGCTGCTAGACAGCTAAGCCATAGTCCGATGTACTTATCTATCACATGTTCAGGTTTCCATCATTGTAACACTAGACACCTGAAGGGTCTGTGGCTCAGTGGATTAGTAGGTAACCAAATCAATTCATAGAATTTATTTTGCAAAATTGTCAATTTGGTACAATGATGATTAAAAAAAAAGTTAATTGCCTGTTTTTTTTATCTTTTACAATTTACACTATAAATGTTACCTACTTAATCTAATAAGAACTGAGTTTGTTATTTTATTTTTATAATTTTTATTGTATATATGTGGGTGTTTTGCCTGCACCTATGTTTGTGTACCAAGTGACTGAGGAGGCCAAATGTGGCACTGGATACCCTAGAAGTAGAGTTACAGACAGTTAAGAGCCACCATGTGGGTCCTGGGAATTGAACTGGGGTCGTCTGAGAGACCACAAGTATCCTTAATCTCTGAGGTTTCTCTTTAGCAAATCCCACCAATTTAGTTTTAACTAACATTTGTGGTTGATGGTTATGTACTTGGCAAGTGTGATGGCCCATTTTAATTGTCAACTTCACACTTGGGAAGAGGAAACCTCAACTGAGTAATTTCCTCCATCAGATTAGCCTGTGAGCATGTCTGTGGGATGTTTTCTTGATTGCTAAGTGATGGAAGAGGGTCTAGTCCACTGTGGGCTGTTACCCCTGGGTAAGTGGCCTTGTATATTATAAGACAATTGGTTGAAACTATGCTCTAGCCAGAAGGAGGGAGAGGGAGAGGGAGAGACAGAAGGAGAGAGAGAAAGAGAGACAGAGACAGGGATGAAGAGAGAGAGAGAGAGAGAGAGAGAGAGAGAGAGAGAGAGAGAGAGAGCGCTATAGTCTCTGCTTCAGTTCCTGCTTGAATTCCTGCCCTGATACCTCTGAATGGTGGACTGTGGCATGGGATTATAAGCCAAATAACTCCTTCTTACCCAAGTTGCTTTTGGTTAGAGTTCTATCACAGCCACAGAAAGCAAACTAGTACACTAAAGTGCTGTGGGATAGGCCTAATATAAGATAGAATTAAACTACTTATAAACAATGCATCACAATTGCTGATTATTTCATTTCATAGATTCCCATATTTTATTTCATAGTAGCATGGAGTGTTCAGTTACATGGACTCAGTCATTTAATTCCCAAATGTATGCAGAAGCACTTACATATTACCACAAATACAGGGTATGAGTTTATTAAATCTTAATAAAACTCCATTGTATTTATGTATGCTAAAGTTTTAGGGAAATGGTGCACTATGTGACTTCAAGGTTTTCAAAACATCTTAGTGATTTTTACAAATTAAATAGAGGTGTGCTCTTTAGAACAAACAAGTCATATCATTCACTGTGTATGTTTCCCATTCATTTGGTTGATCAAAGAGTTTAGAACCAGATGTCATCTTGGAGGCTTCAATGTATTCTTTTTGTTTTTATGGCCAAAGGATCTCAGGTCTCAGATGTTAAGACATTTACCTAAAGATTAAGCACATGTAAGCTCTGCAGCCCCACAGTTGTGCTTTCAGCCACCCAGGAAAATAAATCAATCCATGAACCCAATAAAAACATCCCAGCAACATAGCTCTCTGGCTGAACTGATAGACACATGCAGTAAACAGTCTACTGCACATCTGAGAGCTCTTGCTGTGTGTGCTCTGGTGTTAGATGTCACATAGTTTAGCTGCCAGAGTGAAGCTCTTTGTTATCAGCTGTCAATCAGGCTGGAATTACATAATCAGAGAGTGACAATAAACTAACTTGAAAAATAAGTTACAGTATTGAGAATAATAAAGATGCCAGTATAGAGCGTGAGGATAGCTTGTAGGTAAAGTTCTTGCCTAGTTTGTGAAACTCTGGGTTTGATTCTTGCTACCACACACAAAAAGGAAACACACAAAAACCTTAGCATCATTTTCTTAAGTTTTATATTTTCTTATCATTTTATGAAGAATTTTATTGAAATAATGAATACAATTAGGATTGTTTGTTAAGTATTACTAATAAAGTTTTTTTTTTTTTTTTGGTTTTTTGAGACAGGGTTTCTCTGTGTAGTTTTGGTGCCTGTCCTGGACCTCGCTCTGTAGATCAGGCTGGTCTCAAACTCACAGAGATCCACCTGCCTCTGCCTCCCAGGTGCTGGGATTAAAGGCGTGCACATGTGCCACCACTGCCCAGCCTCATAAAGTAATTTTTAAACATGTGAAGCATTCCTTAAAATACTATGAATTAAAGTTTCTTCTTTTTTGATCTCTGACATTAGCAAACTTATATTTCAAAATTTCTTCCAGTCATTATTTGATAAATACAATCTGACAAACAGAGTAATCTTTTTTTTTTTTGATCCTGGAAAGGATCAAAACAAAAATTCAAAAGGACTTCAATTTTCTGATCCATCTGTGAGACTACATGCTTCACTTTGATCAATTACAAATATTACTAGCTCAGATCTAATCAAAGGTCAAGATTATGGACATCTCAGCAAGGGCTTTTATGTAGCTAAATTAACCTTATCAGAAGTCTTCATTTCCCACACACCAACACAGAAGACTTACAAGCAGCAAACCTTGACACTGTGTGTGTTTGTGTGTGTGTGTGGGGGGGGATCAAAACAAAATCGATAGAAATTTGTGATAGAAATCAAGGGAAGACTTTACTTTCTTTATTTGAAAGGCAGTTTACTTTATTGCTAATTTAATGGATATGCCAGTGTTTAAGTATATATGCAGAGACACTTGAAAACACAAGAAAAAAAACCCATGGATCTCATTTTTCATACCTTCTATTCTCTTTTAAATATTATATTAAAAATTATATGTTTTGATTGTACATAATTGTTTTAGCTGTCCTGAGTTTTTTGCTTTTCTATATGAAGCTGAGTATTATTCTTTCAAGGTCTGTAAAGAATTGTGTTGGAATTTTGATGGGGATTGCATGAATTTGTAGATTACTTTTGATAAAATTGACATTTTTGCCATGTTAATCCTACCGATCCATGAGCATGGGAGATCTTTCCATCTTCTAATATTTTCTCCAATTTCTTTCTTCAAGGACTTGAAGTTCTTGTCATATAGGTCTTTCACTTGCTTGGTTAGAGTTATGCCAAGATATTTTACAATGTTTATGGCTATTGTGAAGGGTATTGATTCTCTGATTTCTTTCTCAGCCTGTTCATTTGTATATAAGAGGGCTACTGATTTTTTTTGAGTTAATGTTATATTCAGCCACATCACTGAAGGTGTTTAGCAGCTGTAGGAGCTCCCTGGTAGAATTTTTGGGGTTGCTTATGTATACTATCATGTCATCTGTCCTGCCTCAGCTTGTTATGCAATGGTTTGTTGATACCAATGGGAAACCTGCCCCTTTCTGAACAGAAGCAGAGGAGGAGTGGGTCAGGGAGGGCAGAGGGGAAGCAGGGGGAGGGAATGAGAGGAGAGGAGAGAGAGAACTGTGGTCTGGATATAAAATAAATGAATAAATTTAATTAATAAAAAACTTTTAAAATTTACATGTTTTGGGACAGGGCATCTCCTAGGCTAGCCTTGAATTCAGTGTGCTCTTGCCCATGCTCCTGAATCGTTATACTAGGATTACAGGCATATAGCACCAACTACTGCCTTGAATTCAACTTATTTTCTTGAATTCAATTTTCCACTCAGTGCTGGGGTGACAGACACAAGCCACCACACCCAGCTTTTTACATGGGGCTGGGGTTCCAAACTCAGGGCTCATACTTATTGGGCAGACACTTCACCCACCGAAGTATCTCCCTAGCCAGTTTCTACCCAAACATTATAGAAGAAGAGACCACACATGTGAGTAGAGAGCAGGACCCACAGTTTGGAATTGGTTGCACAACTAGTCCAGGATCCTTTGGAGTTTATAAGCATTCTAGTTCAGAGCATTTCCTTTCAAAATACTAACTCAGCTCATTTTCTTGATCTACTTTTTCTGTGTCTGGTTTAATGCTGCATTGTGAATAAGATTTAGTAAGGTCTCCTGTCATATTCTAATTTAATACAACTAATGTCATCTTCTATGCTATCATTCAACCAAAGCTGTACTCTTCATGGAGCTTCCACAGGGGAAAGAATGGGATGCAGAAATCCAAGGGAACATTAGCTGTGTTCTGGATTAGGGAACCATATTCCGATGTCAATTTATTGTTACAGACATGGTAGGGTCATCATTTCTTACATCTGTATTTATTTTGGCAACAGTAAGCTAAAGACTATTAAGCACCGTGTCACAACTTCACACTAGGAAAAAATATAGTGCTTGTTCAACTTACAATCCATCCAAAACAGATATCAATCTATCTTTACTGGTACATTTGTAAAAAAAAAAAAAATACATAAGGAGGAGAGACATCACTATAGTGGTCCAGAAAGGCCGGTTGACACATGGTACAGAGCAACTACTGCTATTTGTCTTACTCATGCTCCACGGCTTTGAAAATGAACTATTTGGTGCTCTCTACTAAGTGAGGACACAGGATGCTCAGTGCCACTTGTGGCTAACAAAATCCTAAGACTGGAATGAACCCAGGCCTCATGTTTTGATATGAAGTTTAAAAGCCAATAGTACATACTCTTTCTTGATCTCACTTTAATAATATATACACTCTCAAATTAGTATTTAAGGTATTAAAGGCTATAGCAATCATATTCACTTGAGCCTTAATGTGTCCCCAAAGATCAAATCCAAATTCATTGTACACACTATTTCATCAGC